CATGACACTTAATATTTGAAAATCGAATGTTCTAGGGCTTAGTTCAGTAGAGTGTGTGCCTAGTGTGTGGTGAGGTTAGGATACAATCTCCAGCAATCTGCTCCCAGTTCCTCCCAGAAGAGGGGGTAAAAAAAAAAAAAAAAAAAAAAACAAACTAAGACTAACACGATCACAGACAGTGACGAACTCAAACAACAAAGAAATGGTTCTATTACAGCAGGTACCTTCCCGTGTGTAGACACACTGTAACACAAAAAGCTGGAGGCACTGAAGGCCTTGCTGGAGAGGGTCCCCGAGGAGCCCCGCTTTGTGTATTAACTGATGGTGAGAATAAAGGCAATCTGACGAGAGAGACCTCTCCAGGAGCCCCACTATGGAAGTGGCCGTGGTTGAGAAGCGTGGCGTGCTGCGGTTTAGGGCTGTTGAGGGCAGCAGTCCCCCATCGGGTCAGAAACTAGATGGCAGCACGCCTGTGCATAAGGGGAAATGCTGCTGCATGACTATGAACTCAAAGTACTTTCAGTTTAAAATCAGGTGAGATGTAACACAGCTACAAGCAGGAACATAACAGATCCGAAATGCATCTCAATAGTCATTCCAACCTAGGTGCCAAATAAAGGACTATAAGAGGGTTAAAAAACAAGCTTGTGAAAAAAATTGAATTTTTAAAAATCTAAACTTATGATTAGATACTTATAAATTGAGACTTTCTACTGAAATCGACCATCTTTCTGGGGTGGAGGGGGAGGGGAGCATCTGACTGTAAAGCCATGGAAATAGTTCCAAACCCATAAAGACATCCCAGCCACTCCCTCCCAGCAAAGAACAAATGTGCCCTAAAATAAAAGGAGCTGGTTCAGGGAGCTGTAATTACTAAACACAATGTCAGAGTCAGGAGGTGCTTTGAGAATGCTCTCTTCCAGCTCTTCTCTGGTCAAGACAGGCACACAGGACCAGCAGGGAGAAGCTGGAAGCTGCCTAGGCCATACCATTAGCTGAGGGTAGAGTAGGACTGGTCCAAAACGTAGGTACAGAAACAAGGCTGCGTGTCTAAAAATGCTGGAGAATGTATTTGATGTGCAAGTTTTTAAGATTTATTTTTATTTTATGTGAACATTTGTCTGTGGGAGGGTGTTGGGTTGGTTCCCTGAAACTGGAGCTATAGACAGTTGTGAGCTACCATGGGGGTGCTGGGAATTGAACCCTGGTCCTCTGGAAGAGCAGCTAGTGCTCTTAACCAATGAGCCATCTCTCCAGCCCGATGTACAAGATTCTTACAAAGAAACTAAAGGAATTAATGTGCAGGAATTTCAACCAAAATTAATTTTCGTAGACTTCTAAACTATAGATGCTGGCTGGAAATGTTCCAATGACTATAAATTTGGCTGTTGTTTTCTTCCAACTACTGTGATTACCCTATATTATGGATCTGCTGATTAGAAATGGTAAAATATTGTAATTTTTGGTGGATCCAAACAATCACCGTGGTGAGGAAAACTGGAAATATGGATAGTAACTCAGTTTCCCCACCTTCTGTGTTTTTAACAGGACTGATTTAGCCAGAAAACAGATTCCAAAGAACATTAACATTTCTTTTTTTAATGCTTGCCTAATCAATGCTAACATGCTATGGCTGAAATTGGAGCTCTAGAACCTGGTGGTGGAGCCTAACTCAGTCTCTGCACCGGCTTTTCTATGGCAAAGTTTCATTCACTTCCGTATGGCTGGGTTTTTTTTTTTTCCTGTAATATTGTTTTGTTGAATAAATACTTTGTAATAAAAAGCATGAAGAGGCAAGTTGGTTTGTTTACTTCCACTTACAATGACGCAAATGTCACTTTGTCTGTGGATAAATACTCTGTTTTTCTACCTGTAAATATAGCACATCAAGTGCTATAAATGTATGTACATAAGGGCTATTGCTCAGTGGAAGAGTGCTTGCCTAGCATCTGCGAGACTCCAAATCCTACTACTACTACTAGTACTACTACTACACACAACACACAACACACACACACACACGCACGCACGCACAGACACACTCGCACGCGCACACACACCCCACCACCACCAGCAGCAGCAGTACCGACAACAACAAAATCAAACAAGTTCTGTTAATTGCTCTATACTGAAAAATCAGGAAATGAGGAAAAAGGGTTTTTGAAAACTAAGTCATAATTTTTCCTTTTAGCCATTTTGTCTACAGAGGGACATATGAATTACAGACATGTTGCAAATGTTATTATTCTTTCTTGTTTTACTTCCAAGCTGACGTACCTGTGTGTGTGTGTGTGTGTGTGTGCGCGCGCGCATGTGTGTGTGTAGCTATGAGCAGAGACTCAGGCTAACATGTTCAGTGTTAATACAGTTGTTTCAGAAGGGACACAAATTCATAGCTATATAGGTACAGCGTATCTGTAGGTTTGGTAGGAAATCGTTCACTTACTGAAGAAATGTGAAAATCAACTCTGTTCCAGGAAGCACTGCAGACACACCCCTTCTACCAAAGAAGGTAACATGTGTGTGGTCCTGTTTGTAGACAGAAGTTCAACCGCAGTCAGTTTTACAAAATACACCTTGTCTGAATCCTCGGGATCTTTCCTCTGCATCCACACTGCCTCTCAGCGCATCCCCTTGGCTTGTTTGGCCCCAAATACAGGACTGACTCTGCATTTTGGCACCCTCTTTCACATGAGTCTGGAACCTAAGGCCCATTTTCATTTCATCACATGGCAGCTTCAGGTAGTGATAATAACCATGTCTAAACTAGTTAAGATGTACTCAGCTCTGTTTGAAGCTTATTTATCCAGACCACTCACACAGCCCTAGGAGGGAAGTATTATTATACATAAATTTATAAGGAAATTGATACCTATTGTAGTTAAATATCTATCAGCTTTCAATCTTATACTTTGATTACAGAAGCCATGATGTTGGCCAATAATGCTTGAAAGAGTTTAACTAGTAATCCACATCTTTACACCACACCGGGCACATAACTGTGGTCTGGGAGATTCCCAGTCATTATAACTTGCCCTGTCTGAACTTCTGTACTGTTTTCCTAGTTCTGTGTGTGATCTATCCCCTTCCCTTCTTGTGTGTGTGTGTGTGTGTGTGTGTGTGTGAGAGAGAGAGAGAGAGAGAGACAGAGACAGAGACAGAGACAGAGAGACGACAGATGTAGAACAATTTGAGTACCTTGATTATTGGTCAGTTCTTAGGTTTTTAACATAATTTTTGACTTCTGCCTTTATCTGTAGTTCAATCATAGAGAAGAGACAAGGCCAAGTTAAAAGAAGTGATAAGGGTTACTTACAAACAAGGATTTTTTCTTCACTCCTGTGCCTTCACAAATACTAGTATTTCTTTAAAATGTATCTGATCCAAGACATAACCCTTTCCTCCACAGGACTTATGGTTTAGTGAGTGATAATAAAAACGATGGAGTATTATCATAGTTTTAAGTACATGGACAGCAGACAGGAAGGTGGTAAACTGGGAGGAGACATAACCCAGCCTGTACTATGGTAGGGTACGGAGAGGACTTCACCAGACAAAAAGAGTTGAGACCCAACTGTTGGGAGAAAAAAAAAAAGAACCCATGAAGACCTCTTACAACCTTACTAAAAGTGGTAGGTGGGCGGTGCTGATGCACGCCTTTAATCCCAGCACTCAGGCAGGTGGATCGCTGTGAGTTTGAGGCCAGCCTGGTCTACATAGTGAGTTCCAGGACAGCTAGAAATGTTACACAGAGAAACCCTGTCTCAAACAAAACAAAACAAAGTAAAAAAAAAAAAAAAGAAAATTTTTATATCAATAACTTTCTTAAAATAAAAGACACTCAACAGAGGTAATCATTAGTAAATGCACATAAACCTACAATGAACTACATCTTCATGCCTCTTAAAGTGAACATACTGATGGTACTGACAATAGCAAGTATTGGAAGGATAAAGAATTCTCATACATCACTAGGAATTTCAAACAGTGCAGCTGCTCTGGAAAGCTCAGTGGCTTCTCAGAAAGTAAAATACAGAATGATGTCTGGCCAGCAATTTTACTCCTAGTGTGGAGACACCACAAAGAGATAAAAACAAGAACATAATGTGTACACCAGTGCTTACAGCAGCAGTATTCACACCTGTTCAGTTACAACAGAATGTTAGTCAGCCATGAAGAGAAACCCTGAAAATGTTATGTTGAAAGAAATAGCCAAACCAAATGGTATGGTTGCACATACAGAAAACATTGAGAATAGGGAAATTCATAGACACAGGAAGTAGGCCAATAGTTATGAGAGGCTTGGGGGGAGAGATGGAATTATTTTTTAATGAGTTCAATTTCTGAAATAGTAAGACAATTTTGGAAGTAAATCAATGTAACTATCGTATTGTGAATGCAATCAATGCCATAAAGAAGTAAAGGAAATCAATATGAACTGCCATGAGTTTGAAAGATAGATTATACCATGCTATTATAAATATACACTCTTTTAAATTAAGTTGGTTGAAATGCCCGAGTGAAGACCTGTTTATGGTAAGACTGATCTAGCACCGCTTACCTTCAGAATGATCAGTTTAAGGGGCTTGTGAGACAGAGTTCCAGGTTCAGTCCTCCTGAGTTTTAAGTCTCTTCACCCAAGGTTTCCAGGATCTGAATGAGGCTGAAATGTCAACAAACAAAAGCAACCCACAGGTACCTATTTGCTTGCCTATTTCCTTACCAGAGGTCCCTAGACTTCCTAGAAAGAATTACTTTTTCTGTGCAAGAATCGAACTTACTGACAACTAACTACAAATCACTTTGCAAATCAAATAGATAAATCTGCTATTTCTTAAGTATGGAATGCTCTCTTACAAGATCACATAAGCGACGGCTAACCAAATGGTAGACGTAAACATAAATCAGAAATGTCCTTACTTTACAAGGACACCACAGAGAGAATATGACCCCCGTGTGCACAGCTTTCTTCCCCAAGAAAGAACAGTGACTCAACAAAATCACATTTTTTTTACACAGAGATTTAGTTATTATAAATTTCAAAACAAAATGAAGGAATTTTCACATAATATTTATAACCTTCAAAGTACAATATTAATACATATGTCTGTCAGTTAGAAATAACAGCAGTTAGGCTACAGGGTTTAACATTAAACCAGTTGACAAATGTGGAAAGCAGTAGTGGTCCAATATTCACCATTATACATGAATCTGTTTCTTCCAGAACTTTTTTTTTAAAAAATTAAAATTTCAGTATCATGAAATATTAAAATAACATCCCAAACATGCCACAATCACTATTCACAAATAAAGTTAAAATGAAATATACAAAAACTCACTTAATACTGTTAAATAAAACAATAAACTACAGGATTTCCTGAACAGAAATGAGAGGACCCTGAATGTTTACAGTGAATGGCAGGACAAAAATTAAGTTATAACTATTTTCATGATAGAAGGCAAAAATGTACATGACCATTTCAAAATATACCAATTAAGATTTCTAGTTATAGGATGCACTAACCAATAGTCCTTAAAAATGAACACAAATGCCTGAAACACTGTTACCAACACCGAAGTGTCTGTGATGGTCAAGGAGATGCATAATTCAAGTCACACTAGTTAGTGTCTGATGAGCAGATAATACCCACAATGCTTTGGAGCACTCCGCTGGGTTCCTGTTTCTCATGTCTCATGGCTCTTTTTAAAGACATAGTACAGCCTTCAGCTGATTCCAAGTGAATGTTACTGAAACACACACAGCCCCTGAATGAAAGAAACTGTTCCTCAAAATGAAGTATCTTCTAATAAAGGGAATGTGCTTACGACAAACAGCAGCAAGACCTTTCCTGTTTGAATGGCATTATGGTTACAAGTTAACTAAAAGCACAGTGTAAAAGAGTTCATTAAGGGGAGGAGCATACCAATATGCAGTAGACAGTTCTAAAACGAGGAGTAGGTAAAAATAAATAACTTGGTTCTTAATTTATTGGTGTCTAATGTGAGAATCCAAAAATATCTGATATTCACTTGCTTGAATCAACTCTCACCCTGCACGCTTCTTAAACACACTGTGCTGTCAACCTCTCAGCTACTCTATTGGCCAATGTTCCTACAGAATTATATGTAGCACGAACTTAAGCATGTTCAAGATGGCTCACGTTTTTACTGTTAAGCAAAGCTAAATATACATTCCAGGAAACACTGCAGTTTAGTTTTTAAAAACGAACGAACAAAAAATAAAATGCAGCAGTAAAACAATTTGTGAGGAGAAACAGATGCGTTCACATATAATAAAGCCACTGCAACTTCTTCAGGCATTCAACTGTTGTGTTAAATAAACAGTAGTTATTTAGCAGCAATAATTCCGCAATAAATAATGCACTGTGTTTCTCAGTCCTGCACAAATCTGCAGCTACAGTTACACAGATAGCTGTAACCTACTGGCTCTACTGGCAGAGAAGACCTTAAAACCAACTGTACAAAAACAATTGTCACACTGTGACAACTAATATAAAAACAATCTGTAGGTCTGAAATGAAAGACTCCACTGTGAAGAGGACAGTGTAGACAGACGGGATTCCAAGTCCAGCACAAGAAATAAGTCAGCTCTGAGTCCATGACTGCTAAGAAAGGCTGGGGCTGGGCTTGAAACCATGCTACCAGACTTAAAAGAGCATGCTCTGTCTTCTGTTCTTCCCGTGTCCTAAAATATAAAGTCATCTTATGAGGCAGTTCAAGGCTCAGCGTTTATCCCACATACAGTATTTGGTGACTCTAGGAAGCTAACGTTCCCACCAGCAAACGCTAATATTCCAGGTAAGAGTGGCCAGCACTGTCTTAAATGACCCCTCTGTTGACAGGTCAGTCTAGAGCTTCTAGGCTTCGAAGTGATGAACCTGATGACCAGGCAAGCACAAGATGTGTCTTCTGCCTCAGGTACCAGGGATGGCGTGTGCAGTGATCAAGGCAGGTCACTTGTAAAAGGTCTTTGTGCCATCTGGAGCTTTCAGGATCCCTGACTTGACTGAGTCACTGTCTCTCTGAAGAGTTACTGAGCTGCCCACATCATACAGAACAGTAAGAATGTGCAATTCTAAACATACAGAGTTGTGGGATGCACTGTACACTGGTTTTTACATCAATGGTTTTACTGATCAATTTATAAACCCAAAGCTTGGTTCCACGCAAAAATTCATGATCGACACGTGAAATGGTTTATGACAAACACACCTGTCTCTGGATAGGAAGAATTTCGAAAACCCGGGTCCTTTTGCAACTGAATCTCTTTCAAACTGAATATTGATACACCTAAAATGAAGACAAAAAAAATCACCAGATATTAATGACAAATGTAGCTCAACCGTAACAAAATATCCAAAACACATATAGTGATTCAACACCAAACATCTACACTACTTTCCCAAGGTTATAGCCCCTGAAAGATTTTGAATTCACTCCTATGTTCTAGAGAGAAAACCAAACGAAGTTATCACACTTAACAATTGTTCTCTGGCTAGGTGGTGGCACACACCTTTAATCCCAGCACTTGGGAAGCAGAGGCAAGCGAATCTCTGTGAGTTCAAGACCATCCTGATCTACAGAGCTTGTTCCAGGACAGGATTCAAAGCTATACAGAGAAACCCTATCTCAGGAAAAAAAAATATTCTCTGTCTGTGTCCTACTGGCTTGAAGGTATCAACCTTTAAATTATCTTCAGATACTCTTAGTAAAGATGGACTAGATTTTCACAAGAATCACTAAATCAAACTGAACTTGCGATGAAAACGAAATACCTCTCTTAAAAGAAAGGAAGGTGTGGAAACACACCTGTGATCCTAGTACTTGGAAGGCAGGATCTTGTGGAGCGTCACAAGCTCAAGCCAGCTGGATGTCGGTGAGTTCCAGGCTAACCAGGGCCATATAGCAAGACACTGTCTTAAAAAGGACTTAGGAATAATATACATATGACTTCTCATTTTTAATATCTGTCAGAGATAGTTTTTTATTTTAAAAAAATCAAGCAAATTTTACATGTATAGTCCTGTGGTTTGTCTAAAATTCCAACAGGCTCTGCTACTGGTTGTTATCTGAACCTCAGTTAACAAGTACTACCTAGGAAAAGAGAATGGGAGAGTAGTAATAGCTTTTCATTGCGCTCCCATATATTCTCTTTTCCCCACTCACTCCATTTTAAAGTAAAACACTGGACTAATTTAAGATAGCATGAACAAAATTAAAGCATTACCTCAGGCCTGGGGAATTTTCTATTCTAGTGATTTCAGTAATAGCGTTACTATCTGCTTAGGGGTAGTACAGCTAGAATGACCACAACAAAGGATCTTCTTCTCAGGAAGGAATGCACTTTCACAAGGAAAAGCTTGCATTCGGATTGTACCTCACTAATCTTTATGGAAAACGGTGTGTGTGTGTGTGTGTGTGTGTGTGTGTGTGTGTGTGTGTGTGTGCGCGCGCGCATGCGAGAGTGTGGTATGTGCCATTTTGACTAAGCTGGCCAGTGAGCTCTTGGGATCCCTACCCTGCCAAGTACAGGGGTACAGATGTGCACAGCAGTACCCAACCTTTAAATGGAGGCTGGGTATCTGGACTCGGGTTTGCAAGCTTGTGTAGCAAGTACTTACCCCTACTTGTCCGACCCTAGAAATCCACTTTTAACAAATGAGTGGAACCTGATTAAGCCTAAGGATATCATCAGTACATTCTAATTTAAATCAAGTAATATTAATGATTCACACTAAAATATTACTGATTTCTTAGTGAGTAGAGACAGTGTGTTCAATGTTTCAAGACATAAATAAGAAAAACAAGACATATTTCTTCCTTGGAAAAACTACGATCTGATTACAAATAGGACTAAAATTTTAGGTAGAAAAATGAACAACCATCACTCTTTAAATCTCTAAACCTTCCAATCTTCAATCCTCAACAAATGAAAACAAACAGGAACAAAGGCGAGTTCCTTACTTTCTGGCAAAGCATGTATTCTTGGTCCTAGACTTCTGAAGTACACATGTTTCATGGCCTCTTCTGCTGGAACTCTTTTCTTAGACTCATACTATGAAAGAGCAAAAAAACTGCTTCATTAACCTTTTCTCTAATTACTGTAAAAAGCTGAAGGAAGATAAATTAGTATTTAGAAATATTTTTAAAATTCTTGATTACCCAATATGACAAATTTTCTAGCATCGATTTAGAGTACTCCCAAGAGTGAGGGGACAATTCTCTTAATTCCACATTTCCCAGCTAAGCCTCATAACGGAAAAATTAGATTCCCTGTATTTCTCTAAAGTGATGAAAAGTGAAAGCATTCAATCTCTAATGTTACTTTTCTTTGTAGACAGTATGTCGGTGGAAATATGCCCCATGCCTTTGCACCAGCAACCTTGGTAGATTAACTGCATGGCTTTTTTCTCCTTAAGGACACACCTTATATTTGCTCAGGACATTCATGCTTCCAGCTCCAACAGACAAATCATGAATCATGACTGTTCTACATTCAGACTAATTCCCCAACTCCCCTTTCCTTTTCTTCTTTCTTTAGAATTAATGTTCTGGCCAATGAAACTTGGAAAGGCCTTTGCTTTCAAGACGTAAGAGAGTTAATGTGCTGGAGGGAAACCAGAGTGTCATCTGGAAGTGCAGCATTCTGCACGGCAGCAGGTGTAAGGAAAAGGGAACAGAAGAGCATGAATTGCAAAGAACACAACTTTGAGCTGATTGAAGCATTCTAGAAAGTACCATAAGTAATCTTACTGTTATTAACAGTATCTGAGGGGGTTATTATTAACTCTATTTTTCCTATAAGGAAAGTGACATTTAATGATCCATTTAACATTATGAAATAAGATATGACTTACCTGAAGAAATTTTGTTATCAATTCAATTCCTTCAGAGTCTAACCTAGAAACAAAAAAATACAACAAACCAAAACAAGTGTCCATTTATTCTTTTATCTTAGCTGAGAGAAACATTGCAGATTAAATTATTTTCCAAATGTTTTCATATGCCAAATTTAAGTGCCCTAAAATAACTATTCTTTCTGCTTTCAAAGACCCAAATCTGTTTTAGCCCTAAAAGACTTATCTTGCCATTTTCCTGAGAATAAATCATAATTAATTGGAGTACCAAATTTTCAATATTCATAAAAAATTATTAACATTATATAATTTTTTAAGTTAGCATTCTATTCCCAAATAAAGTACCCTTTATGATAAGGAAAGTTTAAACTGGGCACTGACATTCAGTGTGCCAACAAAGGCAGGTACACCAAAACATTACTGTCCAGCATATAGGTGAAAACACCAAGACAGTGACCCCAAAATGTATCACGGGGTTCAAAATACAGATAAGTCACCTTCTAAGCAATGATTACTGTAAATTATTAAGTTTGTAACACTTCAGTAATAAGGGTTGGAAAACCAATGACAGCCAGTAAAGTTCTAAACAGCAGTGTTATCGTGGTCTTTGTGGATCCAGCTGCATAAGCTCAAGAATCCTAATATATGCAGCCACTATTCATTTTACAGCTCAATTGTATTTACACACTGTGGTGATTCTGGGCCATTGACTTATAAAACTAGTATGTCAATGGAAGGAATGAACTCGAATCACACACTGCTGAGAAGCTGTCCTCTGTCAGTCCTGAACCTCACTGTGTCAGTATGTCCAACAAGTCTAACGAGTCATAAGAGTCTGCCCCTTTCACTTAAGAAATAATACCTGGGTGCGTGGTTAATTAGAGGTTGTGGTTTATATTTTGGGAAGTTGTAGTTCTTGAATTCATCATTTGAAGAAACACCTGGCCAAGTTTCCTGAGATGGAGTTCCTGATTGAAAAGAATAAATTCATGATAAGCATTTAAATTATGTATGTGCAAACATATATAAACAGGCATAACTAAGAACTTTATTAAATAATTAAACCATTTCAATAGAAATTAAAATGATAGTGTGTGTGTGTGTGTGTGTGTGTGTGTGTGTGTGTGTGTGTATTAGGGAAACTATGCCTTAAATATGATAAAGTCCCTTTTCTATCCATCTGACACCAATGTCACTAGGTATAGTAGTTAATATATGCGCTAGTCAAATCTTCTTTCATCAAATCTTCGTGAAATGAAGCTAGATGAGGAGCAACCTTGGAAGATCTACCCTATGACAGCAAAGCCAGCAGTAGTTATCATAATAGCTATGGATGCATGTACACACATGTTTGACAGACACAGTCTTATTTAGCTAGCAACTACAGCTGTGAATAATGGGAAAAATACTTCTTTCTTACCTAGTAGTCGAAATATTAAGTGCAGTTCATCTTCCACAGTTGACCCTGGAAACAGTGGTCTTCCAGAGGCCATTTCAAAGAAAATACAGCCAACTCCCCTTTAAAATTCACCATAAAAAAAGAAAAAAAACCAATCCATTTACATATTAGGCAGCACAAGAATATTTTTTCTCAAGATTGCCTTTCAGAAGAATTTTAGACCAGTCTACCAGAAAACTTCTGAAAAGATATTTTTAGATCCAACTAATTCATTAAATTTACCATATTGATTTCCATGTTACTAATTCATTTTCCCTTTTAAAATGTCTAGCTTTCTTTATATAAGATTCTCAAAGAATAAAAAACTATTTCAAGTGATAGGATGCTTATTATTACTACAGTACTTGGGAGATAACAGTGGCAATAGCATCACAGAGAGAGGTCAGCGAGTCATGACTCTGATGCAGGAAGTAGTGACCACAGTGGAGTGCTGTGGGTGACGGTGACTGCATGTAAGGGAAGGAAAAAGTGGACAGAGGCTCGGAGAACAGACACTGTCATTTAGGAACTATATGATACAAGTAAGGCTAAGACACAGTACTTCCACAGGGGCACACAGACAGTAAGACTACACAAACTGAAAGTACCAGATAGAAAACAAAAAGCACAGTGTTATGGAAAGCAGTATGGAGGCTCCTCAAACGTTTTAAAACAGAATTGCTATGACCCAGTAATTTTACTTATAGGTAAAATTGCAAGAGAACCCAAAGCTGAGTCTTGAAGCAATATGCACATCCACATTCATAATAGCATCATTTACAGTAGGTGAAAGGTGGAAGACACTCAAGTACCCATCACTGGATGAACGAATAAACCAAATGTGGTGTATGTACACAATGACTTAAGGATGCTACACACAGTGTTGATGAAGCTTAAAGACATCATGCTCAGTGACAAAAGAACAACATCATGATTTCACTTGTATGAGATACTTGAAACACATACATTCAGACAAAAATTAGTAGTGTACTGATTACCAAGGAGCAAATAAAAAGGTAGACTGGTTTATCTAACAGGCAAAGTTCCAGTTTAAAGGAGTAAAAGGTTCTGAAGTTCTAAAGATAGATAGTAGAGACAGTTGTATAACAATGTAAATGAACTTAGTGTCTCCAACTGTACAATCAGACTAGTTAAAATTATACACTTTATCTTTGGAATATTTTATCAGCATGCAAGAGAAAAAATGTCCTAGGAAATGAGACGCAAATGCTCAAGACAAAAACAAGTATTTAACTTGTGAAGACAAAAGGAGTAGTTGGGCCATGGTGGTGCACGCCTTGGCACACGCCTTTAATCCCAGCCCTAGGGAGGCAGAGGCAGTCAGGATCTCTGAGTTTAAGACCAGTCTGGTCTATAGAGCTACACAGAGAAACCCTGTCTCAAAAACTAAAAACCAAAACAACAAATAAACAAGAAAGACATAAGGAATGGATAATAACACAGCCAAAACTCAGATAAAGGAATCACCACTGGAGGAAAGGACTGATAACAAATTGTTTGGAATTACTAAACATGGATCCCATTGGGTGGAGAGAGGCATGTCCAATGGGTAGACTGGGATGAACAGGAGGCAGAGAATTAGGAGAGCTAGGTTAATTTTAAAGAATACAAAGTAGGACAATTTTGCTAAAAGAGAAAGAGGCTGCAAGTTTATAGACATCTATGAAAATCTTCAACTATCAGATCAAGAAGACGTGATTTATTCTATAGGCAATGATTATGCTAGCAACAAGCATAGAGCATCATGGTCACAGTGACAGGAAGGTTGGGGAGATGGCTCAGTGGGCACAATGTTTGCTATACAGATTTTCAGCACCTATGTACAAAATGCTACAGGGCTGAGACAGGCAGAGCCCAGGTCTTGCTGGCCAGATATAGCCTAGCCCAAACAGCAAGCTCTAGGTTTAGTGCAAGACTGTTGCATATAAATACATAACATTTTTTAAGTGAAAGTGAATCTGAACACACCTCATGGTGACTTCTGGTCTCTATACCTGTACCTGCACACACATACGTTTACATACATATACACACATAATAATGGATAAGAATGATCTCTGAAATTTTAATTATTATTTTTAGACCAACTTAAAGCAGGTATATTCTACATATTAAAAAAATACTTGTTTGAAATTGCTACATCTTATTCTCTCATTTGGTCTTGATATCACCTATAGAACTTTATTATTACTGTATCCACCCCTTTAAATGGGAAATGAAGCCACAGGCTAATAATGTGGATAAGGCAGTTACACAGTCATTAGTGGTAGACTTGATATTTAAATCTAAATAGTTTTATCTCCACGCCTCAATTCTTAATCACTGCTCACACACATACTCTTTAAAATACCTCCTTAAAAATAAGTATTTGTTAGGATGTCCTGTTAACAGCTACACTCTTTCAAAACTACAAATGGAAATGACATTTATATATATTTACCACATGTCAATCTGTGTTGAGTACTCTGAAGAACCAAGAAGCACATCAGGTGGCCGATACCACAGTGTGACAACTTCATTTGAGTAGGTCTTTGTGGGAACTGACTTGGCTCTAGCTAGTCCTTTATGGAGAAAAGAAAACAAGAAATTAAATATACTGAGATCCATTAATATACTGAGGTTTTTAGCCCCTAACTTCAATATGACTCATTCAAAGTGATATGTACGCAATAGCATTTTGAAACTTCAAAAAATTAGTTTTACAAATTTTGTTCAATGTATGTAGTCTAGGGCAAAGTCAATATTATATAATTAAACTAAATACAATAATTGTACAACTAGAGACTAAGCTGGCACAGTGTCTGAGTTAATCAAAACTTAAGATATTTTCTGTTTGTTGAGTCATGATGCCAGAATTATTTCCTACTGAAATTAATCCAAAATAGGTCAATGACACTGAGCTATAGTTTCCTTGCTACAGATATAAGCTATTTATCATCTTTTCACCCAAACGACACATTTATTTGCTATACCATTTTTAAAAACGAAAAACCTCAAAATCATTGGTCTATGATTAGCTGAATTTTACTGGCAATTTTCTTGAGCCTATTTGGATATTTCCCTAGAACAAAACGCAGTGTTCTTTGTTCTTTTTTACATGTCTTATGTGAGATGTGGGTAACGTGATGCATTTGGACAACACCAGCTGCTATAAACAAGCACCTGCCCATCCTCTGTCAGTCTTGTGTGGACTCCACTGTGTGTTCCGAAAGACAGGAAGGCTCCAAACTCGAAACCTTCTTGCTTTACCACTGGGAGAGAGTTAATAACCCTAAGCTTTTAAATTGTGGTCAATATGTTTACATCTGAGAAACACAACCTTATTTTTACCATACATTTTATTTCAAGTAACAACGGTGCTTAGGCTAAGATTGTTGTTATGCACAACTTTATGTATCTTATTAAAATATTAAATAAGAAAATGTCATAAAATGGTAATTCAACACTTCATTAAATTGGTATAATGTTGATACTATTTTAATTACAAATTGTTACCCTAGCATTCCAGCTTGGTATAGTCATGTCCAACAAGTGATTTTTCCACACATTTTGGTAATTAGCAAGATATAGGATGGCTTTCTTATTCCTCTTCCTTGTTTTTTGTTTTTAGCTTTTTTTAAGACAAGGTGTTACTATATAGCCCTGGAACTCATTATTGAGACCAAGATGGCCTCAAGTTCACAGAGGTCTGCTTGCCTCTGCCTCCTGAGTGCTGGGATTAAAGATGTGCACCACCTGGCATGTCTTGATGTTAAGAATAGGATCTGGATGACAAGATCACAAATCTGCTGAACTTAAACCATTAAAGCAAACTGTAGTTATGATGTCCTCAGCATTCTATCTACTCTCCTGGCCTGAACTGAGAGGCTTATCTCATTTGGCTCGGGTTCAAAGTCAGAGTTTCAGTAGTTTTTTTATGAAATTATATAAGCAATCCTTTCCCAAATTAATTGTAATAGCATTTGTTTTATGCCATTTTCTATCATTAATGGAAATATATATTTTTGAAATTAAAATATAATTACATTTCCCATTCCTCCCATGTTATTTATCTCCCCCAACACTTGCTTTCATATCTCAAATTCATGACCTCTTTTTCGGTGTGTGTGTGTGCGTGTGTGTAAACACACTCGTTTACATAGATTCCTAAATATCTAAATGGGATCTGCTTGGTCTACACAATGTTACTTGAACTTGTTATTTCAGGGTTGGATAACATACAGTGAAGCCCTTGCCTGAGGAAGACGATTTCTCCCACCCTCGGCATTCCTCAGTGGTCTGTAGTTTTTCTCTAGGGCTGGAGTCCCATGAGATTTCCCCCTTCCATGTTAACATTATATGGATTTTGGGGAAGAACCTATAGCTGCCACTTTACTAAAGCAGCATAACTCCTAGCTGCATTCTAAATATTTATCCTTTTGCCCACAGATAAGTGTATCTCACGCCTCAACAAAGAAACTTCTTTTTGCAACAGTTGGAGACCATTACAAAAAACCCACAACTGATCAAAATGCAGAGAACAAATGACCATGTGCTGCTGCCCACCCCAACTGATATATCTACTACAACCCAACCCCTGCACATAAGGCTCAGGGACCGAGACAAAGAGGAGGCAGAAAGCTGAGAGACTGGAGGAATACAGTCTGTTGACAGGACTTTGTCTCCCAGAGACATCAGGGAGGCTACATCCATGAAATTCTAGCAACATGACTAACTAACCCAGGCCTGAAGAAGGACAACAATTCATTTTTAAGAAAACCAAGTATCCAGCACTCTGGAGGCAGAGGCAAGCAGATCTCTTTGAGTTGGAGGCCAGCCTTTCCAGGACAGCCAAGGCTACACAGAGAAGCCTTGTTTAAAAAAAAAAACCAAAACCAAAAGCAAGCAAACCAAATATCGAAGTCTAAGTAATCAGTCTATTAGTCCAGAATTTCATAATAAAACAGTGTTTCTTTAGAAAAGGACCCCTAACATTTTTGCTTTAGATTACTCTTGTTGCTATGTGAGGTCAATGTGTTTTATTCGTGTACCAGCTTATTTTTATCACAAGCAATACTGTAAAGACATACTCCAGGCTAAAAATTTAGGGAAATAAATTTTACTGCAGTGTCAAGTATCTTAGGTATAATGGATACTTTCCTAAAGGCTGTTAAGAGTGGAGAATACACCAGGAACCAGTGACTTTACGCTCACCCGAGCTGTGTCATCAGTGCGAGTATCAACATGGGAAAAAGGCAAAGAGCACCAGTGTAGTTCTGATGCCGTGTTTTATCTTTAGAGATGCTGGAAGGCCTTAGAAGCCCTAGAGGTCTGTGGAGAATGCCTGAGAACCCATGCATTTTAGTGTTGATCACTAATATCCATCATAAAGCCATCCACCTAAATTCAGAGAGAAAACTTCAAAACCCACATAAAAGTGATGACTACCTCGTGAATGGTATATTTTTTTTTAAACTTAGCCACCTGGAAGTATTTATGAATATCTTATCTCTCCATACCAAAGTCAGCCAGCTTGAGTTCTCCTCTTTCATTAATGAGGAGGTTTTGTGGTTTCAGGTCCCGATGCAACACCTTTCTTCTATGGCAATATGCCAAACCACGGAGAATTTGGTACAGGAACAGCTACAGAAACAAATGAAAAGAACTTTTAAAGATAATGTGACGGGCTTTGTTATAAAGAAAAATCAAGTAATTAAAGCCAGTTAAGGACATCTTTTCCTCTTAAGAGTTGTTTTCTAAATTTTATTTTTTATTGTTCAATTAAAGCATCATTTCGTCTTTAACCTAATGATAACCAGGAAAATAAATACTGCAAATAAAACTTTAGATAATTAACACTTCACTGGCTGGAGGTCTACAGTTTGATTACAAAATTCTGTCAAACCCTGCAACTGATTTCTTCCTTGAAACACACGCCCACACACGCATGCACGCACAAGCATGTAATGGGGGGGGCAGCATCATTTTAAAGGGGGCACCAGGATTGGTGGTTTTACAAAAGAGCCAAGGTATCAGGAAAGAATGGTGCTGTGTAGCCCTGGCAAATTCTTGCTATAAAACACTCTGCCCAGCGCCTCGTCCGCCTCCTGGCACTTGGCTTTCAGTGCCTCCTACTCACTCTTCCCAATCTGCTGTGATTCAGAGAGGGACCCGGGCACTATTTATTGTGCTCCCAATGACTGAGGAAAGTGACTCCTGCAGGTTAATAGCTCAGGGCTTTTGTGTATTTTAGAGGAAAGACTCAGAGTACATTTTGATTCTTTGTTGATAGCAAAAAAAAAGAGCCTTCACACAGAGAATTCGGAGGTGTCTTTAGGTCACTGAAGGTGAAACTGCAGAAGATGAGGAATAGGCCTGAAGGAATTCTGAGATGCAGCTTTCAGAGTTTGCATATTTATATGTTCTGAAAAAACTCTAGAATTATTTCAATAACTGTCAGATTAAAATGTGAAAAACTAAGTATAATTTTAACAGAGAGACAATTAAATGCTTTCCAACTTATAGCATCAGTATGGACCTAACTTAAAAAGAACAAATTTTGCAAACCTTTATCAAATTATGCCAATTAAACTATTTTCTTTCCAAAATATTGCTATCTATAAAAGTAGGAAAAACAAAAATAGAATAGAAATATACAAACACTATTCATAATATATAACAAAATAAGATAATATATTATAAAAACCCTCCTAGAACACATGGGAACCCATTTAAAATCCTGCTATCTTAGCTCATGTTCAGAGCACTCTGTTAGTAACAGAAACTGGCTTCCCTCTATATCCACCAACTTACTATCTAAAAGGAACCAAGTTAAAGTTATTATCTACAGCGTTAGAAATGTCTCAACCACACACACGAGACACTGCCTTTTTTCCAAAATAGGCTCCCATGAACTGTTAATTTCACATAAATAACCTATGCCAATTATGTCACAGACCCCTGTTGTTAACACTCAGCTGTGTCCAATGTTTTTAATCTAGTAACTACTAACCTTTGGGCTTCATCTGGTACCTGATGTCTTAGCAAACTTCTATATCACTACTTGAATGCTTAATTAATGCTAAGAAAACACATTGATTAACTTCTGGTAACACAGATCTGTATTTCCAGCACAGCATTCAAGGTACTTATAAGTCTCTGATCTTTTTCAATCAATTACTTTATGATTAAATACAATTTTAACTGTATTAGTGAAGTTTATCTTCAAAAGGATCTTTCAAAGTATATATCCACCATTTGCATTAATTTTAATCCAGAATATACTTAGATATCCATTCTAAAGGACTGAATTGTAGTTAAAGACAATATCAAAAGTTTAAAAGTTCTTTGAAACGAAGCAGCACCACAAAGGATCTGGTTTTTAAAAGCTGTAGTGTAAACAGAGCCAGTATACTTAGAAGGCAATAATCTAAAACTGCCCAATGAAAAATTACTTATGAGGCTGGTATGTTTGCTTGGGCAATACAGTGCGGCTGTGCTGTGCTTTAAATAGGGTTTGAAATGACATGTAAAACATACCTTTACATTGTGCATACTCATGATGTTTCCACAGTCGTCCATGTATTGTTTCAGGTCTTTGTCCTGAAAAAGACACAACACTTTTCCATGTGACACAGTTTTGGGAATTCATGGCTGATCAACCTAAGAGGTTTTTTTCCCTTAAAAAAAAACTAAACATTTATTTATATTTGGAGGCACACATATATGTACCATGACATGTACATGGAGGTCCAAGGACAACCCAAAGGAGTTGATTCAATTCTATAGTTGGTTAAAGTTAGCAAGCTCCTTTGTCCACAGAGTCATCTCACCAGCCCAACAGAGCTGACTTTTTAACACTAAGTTGCTTTTCAAGGAAATATACAGAATTCACTACACACAATGTTAACTAAATACCAATCACTAAACAGTAATTTCCCTGGGGCTATTAAAAGGTCCAATTGTCTATTTTATTAGAGCAAAATAGAGTGAAAAATTTTATTCAATGCTTACCAGATACTCAAAGACCAGAGTCAAAGACTTATCTGTGTGAACAATGTCATGCAAGGTTACTATATTTGCATGTTTTAAATCCTTTAACAGTGAGACTGGAAAACAAAGAGAAAGCAAGTTATTTAGTCTATGGTAGCCAGTCTTTCTAAGAACCCCAAGTTCTGCACATTAGTTAACTGTGTTTAAAATAACACCCAAAGTTTGAAGCCAGACTGACAGTGAAGAAAATGAAGGTATCAATTTTTTCTTTGCTTGTGTGGCTGTGGGTTTGACACTGTAATTCCTGAAACCGCCCCAACATTACAACCCTGCATGTTTGTATCTTTTAATTTCCTGTCAATTACTTGATGTTCTGAAATTATAGAATACAAGGTGCCTTTTACACTTCCATATCATCAATAATTTGCCACAAACTCTGCTTTAATAATCTGATTGCGTGTGTGTGTGTGAGTGTGTGTGTAACTCAGTATCTGTACGTGTTTTGTACTTTTTCTTTGGCTCTTTTTTTTTCCAGTTTGTTTGTTTTGTCCTATTCTGGTTTGATTTTATTTTACTTTTTTGATGTCTATTGGTATTTTAATCAGAGAGAGAGAGAATGTGTGGATTTGGGTGGGTGGGAAAGTGAGGAACAGTAGGGGGAGATCATAATCAGAATATTTTCTATGTGTTAAACCTATTATCAATAAGATCTGATTTTTAAAAATAAAATGGTCATGTTTATATGCTATTTGATTCTTATATTTAATACAATTTATTGTCATGGTCTCTGTAAACCAAAACATAAAATTTTCCTAGGTTAAATATTTATCTGTCACAGATTTTTAACAGCTTCATAAGTATTTTTTTATGAAATATACAATAATGCAATTTCTGTTGAATATTTTGAATTTAGAAACTAACAATTCTAGGGTATAAAGATGGCTTCTAGCCACTGATTATCTCTATATCTAAGCATGTTTTACAAACAGTACTTTTAATATGGTTTAGATTTAACTATTTATATGACTACCATACCTTCTCGTATAGCTGTACAGGGTGCACCTTCTTCGTGTTCCAGGCGGATCTCCTTTAATGCCACCAGATTCTCTGTCAACTTACTTCTTCCTTTATATACTGTTGCATACGTACCCTATAAAATATATTTTGAAGGGCATTGTTCAAATGTGATAGTCACGAGGCATGGTAATGCATGCCTTTTCTTCCTGCACTTGGGAGGCAAAGCCAACCTAGCCTGTATTATAGAGTGAGTTACAGGGCAGCGAGGGCTACATACTGAGGCTCCGTCTCAAAAAAGTGTAGAGAGCCTCAACCTCAGTTTCGAGTGTCTAAGCATGCTAAAGTCTACCTTAAAAAGAAAACATCAAGCCGGGCATGGTGCACACCTTTAATCCCAGCACTCGGGAGGCAGAGGCAGGCAGATCTCTGAGTTAGAGGCCAGCCTGGTCTACAGAGCGAGTTCCAGGACAGCCTCAAAAACAATACAGAGAAACCCTGTCTCGAAAAACTAAAAAAAAAAAAAGAAAAGAAAAGAAAAAGAAAACATCATTTCATACAGTTTTTCTTACAGCAATGGCTTAGCTCCATATGCACAATATCCATATTCCTACCACACTATGGTGTTTCCAAAGTATAAAATGCATTTCATTTATTCTTGTTATTTCAGATTAACAACTGAATCAATGGATTAATATCAAAGGAACGTAAGGCAATGATGTATTAAAACCCACAGGGCACTGAGCACTGTCACTGAAAATATAATGACAATGTTCAATCATAAACCCTGACCTTCACACCCTTCAGAATCTGTGCATGTTAGCCCTCCTTTAAGAGGCTCCCAGAGGCTTGCTGGTTATTTTCCTGCCCTTTCTCTTACTGTGGATGGCAGGCCATTTCTAAATTAACAAGGAGAAGGAGCAAGCTCAAGAAAGCCAGGGCCTAAAGAGTTTCCTTACCTTTGATGAAACACTTTTATCTCTACAGATAAAACTCACACAATGTCCAGACTCCAATAGGTAGCAAGTAGATACCTAGCCAATTACTCACAAAACACAGCATTTGTGCTTCAACAAAAGATTACAAGTCTATTAAAAAATATTAGCTTCATCTAAACTGATAGAAGGTTTCAAGGACCAAGACAATCTATTCCATCTAGTTTTGTTGTCATTTCAGAATTAGATATTAATCTTTTAGATGATAATATCTAAAACCTGTATTTTTCTAGGTTGACAAAGAATTATGGACTAGCCGAGAGTTGGATAACAAGAAAATGTCTTATTTTTAAAAATATGAATGTACTCACCTCCCCAAGCTTTTCCAATTTGATGTAGGTTTCCATTTTTCCAAACCCAATTTCTGACTGAAAGCAAACAATTATGAATTTAGCATCGATTCTTAAAACTTTACCTCTTCTTTTAACTTTATTCTAAAAAGTATGAAATTGTTGAACACCTGTCAAGCTTTAAAATACATTTGATATTAGAACATCAGAAGGTATAAAAATAGCCAAGTTTATAATTTAAATAGTCTATATAGGAACCGGCTAATCTTCTGTTGAAGAACATTTAAATCTCTAAAACTTTTAGGCACCACAGGCCTTTGAAACACTGACGAATCTGCAGACTTCCCTCACAAGATCTGTTCTTAGACTTTTGTTACAATGATACATGTCATGCTAAAAAACATACTACTCAATTTGGTTTCAGCAAACCAGAATTTTTAGTCACAGGTGTATTATTATTGAATGACTAAGTATCTTTTTTGCTTGTTTTTGCACTCTTAATGATTTTTGTATGTATATGAAAAATAAAGTTTTAGAACCATCATATCTACCTTACATATGACTTTACTTTTTGCAATCAATAACGTGAAAAATGAAGTAAAATTACAATAGAAACTTTGTAAATACAAGTGAAGTTTTAAGTTTCAATTTAGAAAATGCAATAAACATCCAAGTATCTGGTATAGGACAGATTCTGGATTCTGAATTATCTTTTATGTAAAAGTTTATATAAAAAGCTAATTGCCAAGATCATAGAAACTATAGCAAAATGTTTTATACATGGGTATCCTTAAAACTCAGATATTTCAATTAAAATGGCAGTGGATCTTTCTTGTCGCCTTAACAGAGTGAACAACACTACACTGAGAATCAGTTCAAACTAGTATGAACAAAACAGTGAGCGCCAATGAAATATTTTAAAGCATCATCATCTACAATGAAAGGCACATGGGAAAATGTAACTGTAAGCTAAGAACTTTTTCCTCTCAGGAAGAATGGCTTTTTCTCATTTGTCTTTTTATGGTGAAATGAATGCTACCATACCCTGGAAACATCCAATAAATTATGGTCCAGTAGTGACTATAACAAAAACATTGAGGTTTGCTTTAAAGTTTATATAAGGTGCTTACAACAAACTAAGGGCCATATAAACAAAATGTTTTACAGATTACTATAATGCCAAGTACACATGGGATAAAATGTAACAGATGCATCAAAAATTAGTATTGCAAAGAGTCTCTCTTTAGGGAGTGAAATATAGTGACACTATAAGTATATATGACAAACAGGAACACATGTGCATGTGCCCAAATTCACAAACACACACACATTCAAGTACCATATATACACACAAAGAACTATACTCAGCAATAATTGCATGTGTGAAAATATCTAGTATATTTTCAATATTCCTCAAAAGAAGTAGATACTTTGGTGATAAATATGCTGCTTACTTTAATCAAAGCACACTGTACACATGAACTAAAATGCCACACTGTACCCCACAAATATGCAGAACATGTGCCAATTAAAAATAACCATGTATCTATGAGAGAAAGTGAATACTAACATGGAAGTATTAAAGTCATATTTGCATAACTAGTTAATCTATAAAATAAACAGCACTGCTGAAATCCATCCATGTAGATGTCCAGGAAATCTGACAAAAGGACTTATTCTGGTGATTGGCTGTCAGATCCTAATTCAGAGAATAACAATACACAACCCAAGCTCCTTAAGGAATTTTCAACTTAGTGGACTCAATGACTACATCCAAGGAATTCTCAACTTAGTGGACTCAATGACTACATCCAAATATCAACTAACGAATCTTGACATGGAATTGTTAGAAAATTTTGCCTGCATTTTTATCTGTCGATCATGACAGATTAACAATATATACAATTAGTAGCTTGTTGATACCCTACAAAAAGTATTCAGAGGACAAAAGACAAAGCCCATTCATTCGACATTCACCAAGGACAACGCCAGGTGCTGACCACACAGGGAAAGCAGAAGGCATTCCCACCTTCCTACGGCAACAATGTGCACAGTTCTACCTTAGATTGTTTTAGAATGCTAAGGAAACTAACTGGCATCATGAAAACAATTAGAAGTGGCTCTAGAAGCTTTGCATTTTAATACAATATTAAGACTCCATAACATGTTCTTTATACAAATGAAGATTTTTATGGTAATTTATTCCAAGAGAATAATTCACTACTTCAAGAAATAACTTTTCACAGTCTAAGCAAATTCCTGTTCAGATGACTCCACAACAAAAGCATACAAATATTAAAATATTATACATAAAGTAAGTTATAACTTATACTAGGTCTACCTATCACAGTGTAGCATTTAAGTGATAACAGGCATTATAGGAGATTTTTAGCTTACTTAGATCTAGTAACATAACCAAAAAATATACACAGGAATGGTGACAGAAATACTATTTGATAAGAGTCAAAGCCTAAAAACAAGCTTAAAGACCATAAATACAAGAATAGATAAGTATAACACACTCAAGAAAGGTAGTACATTTATACAATTGCACGCCATACAACAATGAGAACAAACAAACTATGACTACATGGAACAAAACAGATGAAACTCACAGACTTAACACTGAAAAAAATAAGGTAACTACAAAAACACATTTTGTATACTTATATATACATGCTGTTATTTTATATCATTATATAAGTGTTGTACAGTAAATACACACATTTCTTACATATTTGTATAAACACATTTTAACATATTCATAGCTACATCAAGTTCAAATGTTAAATGAAGGTAAGCAGGAAGGAGATTCAGGTATTGTAGAACGTTATTTGTGATTCCTGACACTTAAGGAGGCTGAGCAAAGTGGATGAGTGAGGCCACCCTGATGTACACAGTGAATTCCAGAACAGAAAGACCCTCTTTCAGAGGAAATGATATCAGAAAGTATTGAGTACTTTAAAAACCAAGTATGATGGTGTTTATGAATACTAGCAAGGCTCAGATATAAAGTCACACTATGAAGAGTATAATCAAAACAGCACGACCACGTTTGTAAAACTAAGCTTCGTGATCAGAAAGCCGGGATTATGGGTAAGATAAGGAAGGAGGGTATTAGTAAAGAGGAAAGTAACAGAAAAGTGTCTATAGCATTCATTTATTCGTCTGGGTACTGGTTACACGAGTATGACCACACCAGAAAAATACACTAACCTCTAATTAGAGTCTGGGCACTCTGCTGTAAAATGTATCATCAACACATGACTGTACATCTAGCATGTATGGTACACATATATCCAGCAGACACATCCAAAAATAAGATACAGCTCAAGACCTGCTCCAATACATCCTCAAGTATGAAAAACGACAAGATGTAGACAACAATGTACAAAACTGAGGACTTAAAATTTACATGTAAAAGTAAATTTCAGGGCAGCGGTACAAATAAATGGCAGAGCACTTGCCTAGCACATGCAAATCCCTGAGTTTAAGAAAGTTATGAAATGGGGAAGGATGGGAAGAAAGAGAAGGAACAGCAAGAAGGGGAGAGGGAGAGAAGAATAAAGGAAAGAGACAAAAGGACAAGAAGGAAAAAAGAGTTGCACCCCAGAAGAGCAAACAAGCGCCCTCCTGGCACGGTGGAAAGCCAGAAGAAACTTACTAAGGAGGCTCTCCGGGACCTGCGGCTCATGGGCTGGTCGAAGGGTGGGCTGCTAATCTGCAGCTTCTCCAGGTACCCATCAGGTATCCTGATGTCTGCAGGCAGGGACAGCCGCTTATTCAAGTCCTGCACATACCACGAAGACCAGGGCATTAGACTTGGGATAACCGCACCCAGGTGCATTATTTTTTAGTGGTAAATAACTGAAGTTTTCTTGCAGTTCCAAAATTACTTAAGGCAAAAATACTTACTATAATCACAGGCAAATAATGTGGTTTTATAGAAATAATTTTACAGAAACAAATATAAGTTCAACTTTACTTTGAAATCAGGGACTGAACTCGGGTTACAGAATTGCTGGAACGTGCTGTTACCTGCTGAGTCATCTCTTTAGCTCCCTAATTTTATTTTAAAACATGCTCAGTATCTTTGGGTAAGCTTTTAACTTACAGGATACACTGAAATAATAATAGTCATAACAAACTTCTATTCATAAGACTGTAACGTAGTTTTTTTTTTTAAATGAATTGTTTGGGGTTTTTAACATTTATTTATGTTTATGAATGTTTTGTCTACTCTCTTTGTATGTGAACCACGTATGTGCCTAGTGCACTCAGAGGTCCCTGAGCCACACGGGCACTGTGGACTGGACCCAGTTCCTCTGCAAGGACAGCAAATGTGCTCACTGCTGAGCCTCCACTGCAGGCCCCTCCCCCATTCTTTCTTCTTTTACATAGAGAAATAACTTACATGTATCATAGGGATGCATGGGTGTAGTGAACCATATGAGAGACTAATAAGTAAGAAAACAAGCTGCTTCCAGCTTATTTATACCTCTTAAAATTAAAAAGTAGATACAGACTACAAAGTACCCAGACGACTACTGAAAAGGTGTGATTAATAAAATGTCTTCTGCAGAATTGCAGAACTGTAATTAAAATGTATAGTTGTCTTGGGGTGATAATTAGAAAACAGAGACATTCAGACCCCAGCTCAGTGAGGCAGCAAAGCAGCTCTTGTGTAAGTGCCATCTGCCGTCGTGCTAAGTTTCAGACGAGCATCTATTCGCTCTATCTGTGTGCGTGCTCCTCCATATTCAGACAAAGGCACGCTTGCATTTTTTAAGTGCTTACCTCCATTGAGATCCGTCTGTGTATACGATTTCTGAGGCAAACACCTGTAGGTGACTGGACTTCATCTGATGACGTCCCAGAAGCTTGGTCACTCTCACCATCTGATCCCATTTTCAGATTTTCATGAACAATGTCTATAACAGAAAAGGAGACATTGCTTACCTTTTAAATATAGATCTTACTACACAGTATAGCTCATCATTACAAGTAAAACAGAGACAACAAATAGAAATAACAGTACTGAAAGTCATCTATATTCTGGATACACAGATAGGCAGTTAACAGATCGAAACATAAATTCCTACAAGAGAAGTAACAAGTCTTAGGCAGGTATGCTGGTTAGTTTTTGGTCAACTGGGAAAAGGGAAAAGTCAACTGGGAAAATGTCTCCATCAGACTGCCCTACAGGCAAGCTGGTGGGGACTTTTCTTATTAATGATGATATGAGAGAGCCCAGTCCACTGTGGGTCCTTATTTGCACAAGAAAGCAGGCTGAGAGAACCAGAGAGTAAGGTTCCTCTTGTGGGCTCTGCCTCAGTTCCCGACTCACTCCAGGTTCCTGTTCTGCTTGAGCTCCTACCCAGGCTTCCCTCAAAGATGGACTGTGATTGAGATGTGTTTATTACAGCCATATAAAGCAAACTAAGACAGAAAGAGGCACTGGGATTGTGGGATACTGTTCAGACAGACCTGCCTGTGTGGTTTGGGGAAAAGACTGTAGGAATGTTTGAGACTTTGGGCTGGAAAAACAATCAGTGCTTGAAGCTTGACTGCTGTCCCGTGGAGTTGGAAGACTGCTAAGAGCAGCACAGATGACGGCAGGCTGGGCTTGTGAGATTTCAGAGGGAAGCAAACACTCTATCAACTTTAATATATTCTGAACTAAGAATCTGTCGTTCCTGGCGGGGAGGAGGAGGAGGCAGCTGTGATTAGGAGGAGACCAGCACCACTGAGGTGAACACTGAGGTGAAGTCTGGGAAGGACTTCCTCAAGGTCACCACACAGAGATATAGTCCAGAAGGAGCCGCAACTGCATGTCTAGCTGGCAGCCAATCTTGGTAGTCTGTGACAGTCTCCTAAGTGTTACTGGTGTTGGCAGCATGAGGGCTGCAGGACCGAAGAGGCATGGGGAGCAGCTGATACTTGGCACTCTGAGAGGCCAGGAGGGGCCATTGGTCAATGTGTAGTCTCAGCTGCAGTGGAAAGCCCGGGACTGAAGGGGTCTGCAGAGCCTGAGAGAAGCCGCGGATCAGCACCATGTAGCAGGTTACAGAGTCCCTGAAGGGAGGCCAGATGATGCCACCGGTGAATGTATAACCCAGTTACACTGGAGAGTCCAGGACTGTGGGACGACCACCAAGGACAGTGGCAGGTGTGGAGTGGGAACTACCTGAGCCTGTGACATTAGCTCCAAGTGCTATGGATGGCACAGGAGGAGAGGTGGAGCTACTCAAGTCCCTTAGGGCCCAGAGGACCGTGAGTGAATGACATTTACCCACAAGCTTTAGTCTACACTGTTAGACGTTGTTCTAATTTTACTGTAACTGTGCCCTGTTTCTATGTTTTAAAGAGACTGGACAGTTTTAAAGTATATATAAAGACATATTAGGTTTTATAGTTATATACTATTAGTATGATATCTTGGGGATAAAGAAGAAAGGCAAGGTTGAGGCTTGGTACTGACGTGTTTGTCAAGGTGACAAGGGATTAACTGTACTCATGGTTTTTTGCCAACCTGATTCAAATTAGAGTCACTTGGGAAAGAGAAAGTCCATCAGACTGACCTGAAGGAACAGCTTGTGGTGAATTTTCTTAGTTACTAATTGATGCATGAGGAGCCAGCCCACTGTGGGTGGCCCTAGGTTGTAAGTGAAAGCAAGTTGCACAAGCTATATAGAGCAAGGCAGTAGGTAGAGCTCCTTCATGGTCTCTGCTTCAAGCTGCACAAGCTATATAGAGCAAGGCAGTAGGTAGAGCTCCTTCATGGTCTCTGCTTCAAGCTGCACAAGCTATATAGAGCAAGGTAGTAGGTAGAGCTCCTTCATGGCCTCTGCTTCAGCTCCTGTCTCCAGGTTCCTGCCCTGCTTGAGTCCTACCTTGGTTTCCCTCAACAACACACAGTGTTTGGTATGTGTAAAGAAAAACAAACCCTCTCCAAGTTGCTTTTGATCATGGTATTTCTCCCAGCAATATAAAGCAAACTAGGATAGCAGACATTGTGGCACATGCCTTTAATCCCAACACTAGGGACACAGAGGTAGGAGAGGGAAAAATCTCTTTATATTTTCAAATTATGAAAAAATATACAGGAAAATAACTCAAATTATTAGCAAGAATTGAATAAAATTGCAGACTCAAAATATTTCTTGGGAAGTTCAGTAACTTGCCTCATTTTCCAAAACTTGGGGTTAGAGACTTAAAGATTAACTATTAGATCACACAGCTGGACTAGAAATCAGGTCTTCTGCTTCTTATGACTATTCTTTCAGTAAATGTATCATTAGATCAACAATATAATGGAACCAAGTCATAGAACAGTCTTCTTAAAAACTTTAAGAGGCTGCTACCACAAGAAGGATGTGGTGGCACACACCTGTAACCCCAGAGCCGTAGAGCTGAGGCAGAGGGATGGAGCACAAGATGCCAGCTGAGTGTTCCAAGCATTAGTCACTGAGTATCTACTACAAAATTAAGTTTGCAGCCTCTAAAATATCAAAAATCTGCCAAAAGCTCACAACTTCAAGACATACCTGAACAAATAGCAAGGCCATGTAAACTCAGTGATACAGCATTTGCGTGGCATGCCTTAGTGAGGCAGTAGGCTCCCTGCCCCAGTACTAACAGTCAAACAACCCACAAACAAACAAAAAACCAAGCAGCGGTTGTAAAGGACTACAAAGCAAAGGTAGTAATCTCAGATATGAATAGAAATGTGAGTCAACCAAGTGACTATTCACATTAACAGACAAGCACAGTTGTTTCTGTCTCCTTCAAGGTACAAGTGAAGTGAAATAATGCAGGCCTGTGTCAGGACTTCACTAACTTGCTAGTGGATAAAAGGACTCCACTGAAATATGAAGAGTATCAGGAACTAGAGAACATTTGCTGATTCAACTTTTGTGCCACTTACTATAAAACTTTCAAGGACATAATCTACATTGCTAACAGTTTCAGTATTACTACCATAACTCTATACTGAAAGTTTCAGGAACAGATTTTTGTGATGGGAGATGTCATTCTCTAAATATGTCTTTCTTATTGGTTGATGAATAAAACACTGTTGGCCAATAGGGAAGCAAGACAGGTGGGACTAGGAGATAAGGAGGATACTGGGAAATGTAGTAGGAGTTGCCATGTGATGCTGGGAGGAGAGGATGGATGAGTCTGGTGTTCTCATTAAGATAAGACCTTGTAGAAATACATATGTTAGTAGTTATGGGTTAATACTTAAGACTGAGCTAGGCAATAAGAAATCCCAATCACCGGCCAATAGTTTATAATTAATATAGTGTCTTGTGTGTTATTTGGGGACCCAAAGCCATGACAGAACCCCATAACATTTTTGTTATTTTGTTTTGTTGGTTTGATTTTCGAGATAGGATTTCGATATGTAGTTAGTCCTGGATGTCCTGGAACTCTGTAAACCAGGATGGCTTCGAAATCACAGAGTTCTGCCTGCCTCTGCCTCCCAAGTGCCAGTATTAAAGATGTGACCCACTATCACCACCTGGCAAGAATAGATGTTTTTATACTGTTCTAGAATAAAAAATGTTTGTTGCATTTTTCAAAGGGTTTTTACCCACAGAAAAAGAATATGCAACAGAGACTATAGCCCATAAAACCTAAAACATTAATTAACCAACCTCTTATCTATACAACCAACAAAATTATAAGCCAAGACCTGATTTCTTGAAGATAAATACTCCCTTAATGGCTGACTTCAAATTATTGGCATAGTATTACTGGACAAGTGATGCTGGAAAGAAATGTGCAATGGCACACATATAGTAGTATCTCTATTGACACATAATCAAATAACCCCCAAAGAGTAGACAATGGTAGACAGTAGTAAAGTAAGTTTAGCTGCTTAATTATAAACCTGTAGGACTGAAAGTGTAACAGTAACTATGTTTAACAGACAACTGTAGCAATCATCTCTCATGAACCAGTTGAAGATGATTCCAGCACACCATTCCGTGTGTTGCATGGAAAGGGATAATGGCACATTGCTTACAGGAGAAGCCACACTCTAATGAGTTTCACAGTCTTAACATTACTGACATGAACATGTGGTAAGAAATAAAGCAAACAGTAGAAAACATTCAAAAACTTTAGTAAATACAACCATCTAATGGGACACTGAAACAGCTATGTTTAAAGTGATTTTTAAAATCAAAACATGACACACCACTATCAGAAAAGATCAGAGGCACAAAAACTTGTGGATTTTTTTTCAAGATATTTCTAAGGACATAAAGGCAAAAGAAAAGTCAGGTGATAACCTACTTCCTGTACTGGGCCATTATGAGGTAATGATTTGAAGAGCCACTCAAGTATGACTATATACTATGATACAGTATGATATCTTTTGTCTGCTTCTTATGGAGGTTCTGCTGGATGACTGGGCATGCAAACACTATTTCTCTATGGTGTTTGCACACCTCCATCTTTCTTCTTCATATAGCTAACACCCAGTGTACATGTCTTTCAGTCACAAAATTAAATGCAACAGAATGCCATTACCTAATCTGCTTCCGTTTCTTGGCATGGCCATGAAGGAACCAAGGCTTCCTCCAATAACACTGTGGGGTCTTCGCAATGGGGGCTTCTTGAAAGACCCTGTGTACTGATGAAGGAAGGAATGCATGCTGTGAGACGTCGGAGGCCTGCCATTCTTCACAATAGGCTCTGTGGTTCACGGTATCCAGTGATCATTCCATAGTTATCACAAGAGTCAGGATCACACGAGAAGGATTAAGGAAACAAAACAAACAAAAGGTTGTAACAGAGATCATTTACATATAAGCTCACTTCTTTGGCTATTTATTCAAAGTGCTAGAGTTAAAATAATTTTTAAGAAAAAAATATTTATAGAAAATACCTTAACATTTTAAGTTGTTCCAATGACCAAACTGGTTAACATTCACTAGCATACCCCACCAGGATCAAATCACTTACATCTTAAAATTATTTTGATACTACTCCATGTGCTGCCTATTTTAACATGTGTCTCATGGCTAAATGTGCTGTAGAATATAACATACATAATCCATACCTAAAGAATATATACTTCCATTGCCAGACATTCAGAAAGGTAAGTTAATTAGTGAATAAAACTGAAATACTTAAGTATATATCAATATGGAGGCTGAGATAATTGTTCCAAATTTGGTACCTTGTTATATATAATCTTTAAACAAGCAAAGACCCATTATGGAACAGAAACACCTGACAATACAGTCCATCAGAATCAGCTATACATGAGGAAGAATTTTAGCAGCATTTTGCTTGAAAATCTATTTCAATTCTATTAAGTATACTTCCCAAAATGAACCTGCTGCTCCATATGGCAATTCTATGCTTAACTTTTAGAGAAAATGAAACAAATTTAATTTATGAAAAAATTTAAAAACTAAACTCTTAGGGATGGAGATATAGCTCAGTGGTACATGCTTGCCTATCAGGTGTGAGGGTCCAAGTCCAATTCTTAGTGCTAAAAACAAAACAAGCAAAACAAAGCATCCTTTTTCTCACAGTTATCTTTTATATTAAGTATTTTAGATATAATACCTCATGCCTCTATTTATAAAATTCCATTTATATTTAAATAAAGCTGTTCTAAGTTAGGGCCAGTAAGTGCAGAGTGGCCAAGATTAACAACTTTAAGCTTATTTTTACAAAATGACTTCATATTCAATATGTAAAACTCAAGATTCTTCTTTCCTGGATTCAATTCAATGGTCAACGTGCAAACATCCTAGCTACACAATGTACTGTGAATTATAATTATAGCAGAACATCTTGAACTGAGTTTAAGTCTTCAAACTGTGATACAGTTATTACTACTATAGAAATTTCTTAAATTCTAGGTGAAAGTTCTACCATAGATAACCAAAGGTGCCACGTGCACTACAATTTTTCTAAGATATTTATATAATTACAACCCTGCTAGTATGAACTCCTTTTTGTTACAATATACATGTCAGCCACATGCCTACACATATGGCAGCATAACAGGGATATTCACCATGTTTGTGATCAAACTAGAGACAGGAAATCAAAAATTGAGCTGGGGCAGTTAACTCAGAGAAGTGACAAACTATTTCACCTACTCCTTATGCCAGCACAGCCACTGTTTCAAACTAGACAAAGACCACTTTTGGTTTATAAATTACAATATGTGTAAGATTTCCAAATAGTACAGTCCACATACATTCTCATACAATATTTTGACATGAGTTCTGTCTCTGTTTGCAACTTATCTTTTGTAGTTTTTATGCTAAAAACAAAACAGGAGGGAAAATAAACTAAGAGGAAAATATGTTTACTTTTAGCTAGTAGGCATTGACATGATCAAAAACAAGATTTAGAATCCCTGTCAAAACTGTTGATGAAATCCACGTTACACACAGAGAATACGTAGCAACTGACTATGGCAGTTCATGCCAAAGAGAAATCAAGGTATGCCTATGTCTTCAAGTGTGGTATCAAGTCACTCTGATGAGGAAGAATTCCAATGGCATTCCTATTTTTTCGTCTTGAATGTTGTTTTTTTTTTGTGTGTGTGTGAGGAGTTTTATTAGAAAGGGGAGGGAGGGGGAAGAAAAGAAAAAAGAGGTAAAGAAACACAGAGGCACAGAGAGAGGACAGAAGAGAAGAAGGAGACAGGAGCAGAGAGAGGAGAGCAGAGAGAGAGAAGAGCCAAAAAAGAGAAGAACAGGAAGAGAGCATGAGCTCTTTAATGTCTGTTACCAATAAACAACATACTATTTTTAAAATATTAGGTATTTTTAACATTTAACCTCTGGTGGTTTAAAAGAAATTCACACACACACACACACACACACACACACACACACACACACACACACACACAGTGGCAATATTAGGAAGTATGGCCTTGTTAACCTCTGGTGGTTAAAAAGTGAGAAGAGTTTTCTGTATGTTGCCTAGAGATTGTTCTTGTGATATTTTGGTGAAGAATATAGCTGCTTTTTGCCCTTGTCTGAAAAGTCTGCCTGAGGCTAAATTGAAGAGTTTTGGATTAATTCAGTTGGCAAAGGAAGTCTCAAAACAACCTAATACAGACACTGTCATGTTGTTATTAATGTTAACTCTAATGAAGATTTATAGTGAAAAGGAACAAGCTGAGCAAGGAAAAATACAAAATATACAATTTGAGGAGAAAAAGAAGACCAGGACATGGAACACAGTTAAGTCTTGTGTTCAAGAAGATTAACAGATTATGAAAATGAAACAAAGAGAGTGGTAACCTCAGGGCAAGATCCCACCCATCTAAGTTTCCAACTTGTAAAAAGGATTTAAAGAAAAGCAGAATTTTAAGTACAGGAAAGGAAGCTCTCCAGATGCTGCAAAGCATGGCTCATTATCACTCATTTTTATGAGCTCCTTCCTGGTCACTAGGACATTCCTAGACTCATTTTAGTTTTGATTATATAACTTTGTTCTAAAATTTTCATCAAGTTTACATTTTAATTCATTTAGTTTAACAAATCTTTCAAATTTTTACATTAAAATTTGTGTACTATTGCTGGGCGGTGGTGGTGCACGCCTTTAATCCCAGCACTTGAGAAGCAGAGGCAGGTGGATCTCTGAGAATTCGAGACCAGCTTGGTCTACAAGAGTTAGTTCCAGGACCGCCTCCAAATCCACAGAGAAACCCTGCCTCAAAAAACCACAAAAAAAGGTGTACTATTACTCTTTATTGTAAAACACGATGTCAAATGAAACGTCATGTTTTTGTCTTTTGTCTTTAAGTGTTCTCAACACTATGAATACACTTTGGTACATTAAATAGGAAAATAATAAATTCACGTATCTGATGAATCTTGTAATCTATAAAGATGGTCAGTGCACATCTAGAATGCTATAAAACTATGATAAAGCTACAAACAAGAATTTCATAAACTTACTCAAGTTATAAAATATTTAAATATATTATAATATTTAAATAATAAAATCAGAAAGGTATTCACAGGAGTAGGAGGTCACAGAGATTGGCAGTGTTGGGGTGATAGCAGAATATGACACCGAATGAGATAAACAGAAACGCCATATTCAGCTATCTGAACAGAAGATTCGGGTTGTATTCATGAAGTAGTTCAATTTCTCCAGCCCGGGTTATTACCGTTGTCTTTGCTGCTGCTGTCCTCCACTGTCATTTGCTCAGCCAGTTCCGACAGCGACTCATCGATGGTCTGGCTTCCCCTGAGCGTGAGGGACAGTCTCCTCTTAAACTTTTTCATCCTATCAGTTGGGTATGACGTGAAAAATTCTGAATGTGAAGAACAAACAAAAATTAAAGTTTAAAAATTTTATTGCTCAAGAAAAATGTCATTCTAGACTTACAGTAAATCTTCAAAATAGGAATGTATTAAGAAAACATCACAGAACCTAAACTTTTTGTTAAAAAAATATAATTTGGTGCTGGGCAGTTGGTGGCACATGCCTTTAATCCCAGCACTTGGTAAGCAAAGGCAGGCGGATCTCTGTGAGTTCTAGGCTAGCCCCGTCTACAGAGCGAGTTCTAGAACTACCAGTGCTTTTACACAGAGAAACACAGTCTGGAAGCTCCCCCCCCTAAAAAAAAGATGTAATTTGATTAATAGTATATTTAGTTGGCACTAACAGAAGGGAAAATTTTTTATTGACGTCCACAGAAGAGACCTTAAGAAAGATGAGATAAGAAGGGATGAAAATTCCCTAAAGCTGCCCTCTAAAAACTCCTAGGGTGAAAATGGACTGTTGTTTTGATAATTAGGTTCCATCACAAGTCTCAACAGTCATTCAGGAACAAGTCGGATCCGTATCCTATCCTGTTTTCGTGGTAGGGAAAATGCTCAAAGATCTCCCTAGAGCAAATCATCAAACAGGAGGCAACAGAATAAGACTTAGAAGCAAGATTAACATTTACCTTTTCTTCCAAATTATAACATTTCTGAAGTCAGGGTGCATGTTACAACTTACAAGATATCAAATGTAACTGGTAGTATTTTTTTCCCATCTTACTAAAGTCAGTAGAACCTACTAAGTGAAAAACTTGCTCCCTCAACCAACTCAATAGACCAGTACCTTCTTTTCTAATTGCTCTTTATGACCCGTAATGAGCAAATGTACCAGATTAATAATCTTCAAAGGTTATCCTAAATAAAACAAGACTCTTTACAGCACTCCAATGCTAAAATAAATCCAGCTGTGTATATGCTTTCTGTATGTGTTCTGCTTAATTTCTCATTCTACAGGTATACATCAGGTTTACTGAACAGGTGACTTATGGAAAATTTTTTGTTTGCTCAAAGGCAGGGAAACATAAATACAAACTTATGATTGATAATTTCATATTTGACCATTCCCTGACATGCACTTAACTTTAATTTTAAAAACATCGCCATAATAAAATACATAACCACACACATTAAAAGGCAAGTATTGCAACTAGAATCTAATAGGGTTTCTCTTTATCTACAACTTTAAATTCTTAAGACATGCTGATTAATGAGTCTAAAAACCAACCCAGGGTTAGCTTGGTTTAGTCCGACTGAAACAGACAAGTTAGTGTTGTATAATGCCTAGTGACTTAGCTTCCAGCTAGCCATTCATCCCTTCTATCTGTGCCTAACCTGTGATGAAATCACTTGTACTGTTCATCTTTTCCCTTATAGGTCCCACGTTTGATTCTTTCCTATAGATTCCAGTTCTCTAATGAAGTTCTCAGCTTCAGCATCTGTTTCAATGAACAGAGTAACCACCATGTGTTACAGCTCCTGCCTATAACCCCAAAGGCTGTATAAGCTGTTGGTCTGCTCCTGCTGTTGGGTAGCCCTATTCTACTAAATGCCAGACACTATCTGTGAATGACGTGACACTGGAGCAATGTCCGGGTTCCAGATGCTACCTTCCTCCACAGAGGTTTCATTGATTTTTCCTATCGGGCTACCCAAGTAGAAGCAGGCCAGGAGGCAGACGATCTCAATCCAATGACGGACAGAGATGGCTGGAGACTGCACCTCAGACACTGAGGGTCTGACCCACTCCTGCATTACCATCACTTTTATGGTAAGGCCCTCAAGAGACTCCAACAGTAAATCTAGGGCCAGAATAATAGCAGCAACACAGACCAGTGGAGCTCTGCTCACTGTCATCGGTTGCTGTTTGCTCTTCTCTTACGCCCTGAGTAACCCTAACCCTCCCACTGACAACAGTTTAAAGGGTCTTCACTTTTAAAGACAGCTAACTCATAAAGAAATACAGTGTCTCCTCACTCCCTCCTGAATCTCTATTCAATGGTCTCCTTCCCTTAGCATTTCTAGTAGTTTCAGCAGGACTTTGGTTTGCTTAAACTATCCCATCATAGGCAAAACAGAAGCTCTGGTGTGGGTTAGATAAGATAACATACGTATGTCAATAGGAGGCAGCCCACAAGCTTTAGTTGAGTCCAAAGAAACATGCTAACTCTAGACATGCCCTAGAAGCGCTAACTGTGGTCGCCCCAAATGCTTTCTGCTTCACTTCTGACACTGTACCTACGGATATAGCTCTGCCACAACAGTCAGTAAGTAATTCAGGACATCTGTTTCAACATCTTAGATTTTTTAAGGTGAGCTAAGTCACTCTCAACTATCACTCTGTTTCTCTAAGACCTTAGGCTAGAGCTAGGTTGGTGGCTCACACCTATACCCCAGTCCCCAGAAGGCTGATTGATGCCAGGACAGTACGGGTTATATAGTGAATTCCCAGCTAGACTAGAGATACAGAGTGAGACCGTATCTCAGAAATCAAAGAACAGCAACAACAAAAGACTTCATGATACAGAAGCCTTCCTTTCAAGAAGGTTCAAGAAGGCTCAGGAAGCAATGGAGCAGAGGAGGAACTAAGCAGGCTAGGTGCTTAACTACACAGCCTGAGTGAGAGGCTCCTGAAGAAAACCTAGAATACTGCGCTTGATGAGTGTCTCTATATACTTGAAACTAAGTCATACTAGATAATTAGTTTCAGGGCTAAGGATCAAATCCAGCACCTCACACATGCTAGACAAGTGCTCATAACCCTCAAGCCAGATCATGGCACCCCCTACCAACTTTTCAGACCCACTACCTCTAACATAGTCATATGGTCCCTAATGTCCATCTAACTACATAACAAAAGTTTGCTGACCACAGTTCTTGACTATTAAAACATAAAATAGATCCATTATATACAGATTCAGTATTATAGCACCAAGTGCAGTTATCCAAAATATAGGCCAATGTGGCTAATGAGCACCTACAAAGTAGTTAGACCAAACTGAGTTATGCTGCAAACACGAAACATAAATTTGGCATGCAAACAAGAATGTAAAAATATCTTCCTAATTGTAGACAAAGTCATATAAAAGCAACAAAAATGGAGTTTCAAGACCCTGGGAAAGAGTGGAAAGTGGGAAATCCTTAATAGATACAGAATTCCAGTTTTCCAATGAAAGGAACTCTGGAGATGGAGAACAGTGGAGCTTTATGCTGACACATAACATCTGGGTGGGTTTAAGTAGATGCAAGAGGGGACATAAGTGACTTTACTTCTTACTGTACTGCATCTGAGTATCACTGTACTTTAGGGAAGGGTCCCTTTATTCATAACTTAACAGTAGTACAAATTAATACTTACTTTGCCACCAAACAATGAAGAATGTTCTGGTAAATACAAAACAAAACAAAGACAAAGACAAAACTGCACCTTGGCCTACACAAGAGTGAAGAGTAACAGCTCACGCCTTTGATCCCAGCACCTGGGATCTCACACCCTTGCTGGGCAGTGGTGGCGCACGCCTTTAATCCCAGCCTTGGAGGCAGAGGCAGGCAGATCTCTGTGAGCTCCAGGCCAGCATCCAAAGCTATGCAGAGAAACCCTGTCTCCAAAAAACAAAAAAAACAAAACTAAGCACCAGGGACATTTGGGATCTCATGAATACCAGCATCATGAGAGTTTCTGAAGGATAGCAAAAATGGAAACAAATACATTTTTAAAAATAAATGTTGGCCCCAAACTTCCCAACTCTGATGGCAAAAACATGAATATACAAAACCTAGTAAGAACAAACACAAAGAGACTCACACTGAGACACCTTTTTATTAAGTGTACAAGTCCCAAAGCAAGGATTCTTGAAGTAGCCAGAGTGAAGCTATTTACAAGGGTTCCTCAACATAATTAAAACTGATGGCACATTAGAATTAAAAGGCCAAGAATAGCATATTTAAATATTGTAAGGAAAAAGAAAACGGTAACCAAGAATATTATATTCAGCAAAACTATACTTAAAAATGAAACAGAAATCAAGACATTTGTTTCCAACTGACCTGTCCAACAACAACAAAAAATGATGTAAGAAGGCTTTCAGGGTAAAGTAAAAAGGAGAAGGAATATAACTAAGAGGATTAAAATAAACTGGAAATTTCAACAGCCAGCTTACAATAATGGTTAGAAAGAGCATACAAAAGAAGGAGAGAACTTTCAGGTGTACACAGAACACACTGCAGACCAGACAGGAGGCCACAAAATAAACTCTGAATACACTGCTTTCATTTTTCAGGTTAAACACAGGGACATATACATGCCAGGCAAGGGTTCTTTTACTAATGAGCTATATCCCTGGCAGGTAGGTGTGTGTGTGTGTGTGTGTGTGTGTGTGTGTGTGTGTGTGTGTGTCTTTTTTGATTAGATAAAATGAAACTAAATAAGTGTCAAATAAGGAAAATTTACAAACACGTGAAAATAAAATAATACAATCTTAACTAATGGGCCACAGAGCTCACAACTGACCACAGAATATGCCTTGAAACAAGTAAAAACACTAACACAATACACTAAAATTTGCAGTGTAGAGCCAAAAGTGTTGAGAAAAGTTCTAGTTCTACTGTTTACATCAAAAAGAAAATCTCAAATTAATAGGTAAATAGTACACTTCATAGAATTAGAAAATGCCAGGTGGTAGTGGTGCATGCCTTTAACCCCAGCCCTCGGGAGGCAGAAGCAGGAGGATCTCTTGAGTTTGAGGACAGCTTTTCCAGTCAGAGATACACACAGAAACCCTGTCTCAACACACACACACACACACACACACACACACACACACACACACACACAAAACCAACAAAATAATTTAAAAACAAAAAACAAATTAAATCTAAAACTAACAAAAAGTAGCACGCAGAGGAGCAGTTGAGAGGTGGGGGGATTAGGAGGAGGGAAGGGAGGGGAGACTCAGGTTGGAATGTAAAAAATAATAAAAAACAAAACAAA